CCACTTCCAAGCTTCGACTGATCTCATAATAGCCTATACTGTCTCCGTCTTCACCTGCTTCCCTGTGCCTCTTTGCCATGGTGCCCTGTTCCCGTGTGTGTGATTGCACTAACAAGCAAGTTTGAAGGTGGTTCTCCAAGTGTTCAGTGTCCTATCTACGGCGGCTGAAGCGGTGCTTGCTGTTGGTTGCAAGGGCTGTGCGTTAGGTTAGTAAGGAATGAACGGTACGGCCGTCAAGGGCTGACCCATCAGTGTCGCGTGATCCCCAATCGTCCTGTTGCTAACGCATAATGGAGCGTGGCCCGCACTGCTTCCATTCTCGGTGTCCATTCTCACTGTCCGATCGCGACTTGCGTCCCAGGTAAAACGCAATATTATTCGACGTGTGTCCGCGCATTGTAGCGTCTCGGTGCGAAACGTTGTCCAGCTGGGACTGCGCCTCATGTCAGCTTGTTGGCGCACTGCCATTTCCTTGCGGTGCTGGCGTACTTCTGGTTACTAGGCATCAAACTACATCCGTTCTTTAACTTCTGCATTGCCATGCAGTATGGACTCCAGTTTGGTTTTCTTTGTGTGGGTACTTTGCAGTGTTTCGAATAAACCCAGAAGCAGCCATCCGAACACGTTCACAGTGACGAGCAAGGCCGGATGCATGCTTAGCATTAATACACACGGCTAACCCTACCGCACGATCTACGTTCCGGAGCTCGCGTCCTTGATGGCCGCGGCCGACACACAAGCTTTCTCAACCATGGCCGCCTCAAATGGGACCACCTGCCCGCTTCCTCCTCTTGTTTCCCAGTCCCTCACCTTACCTACACTCGAATCAAAATGAGCTATGGCAATGCCAAGCGATTACTTATCAGGCGAACCACGCTCAGACAACATCCAGCCAGAGCCGGCTCGAAAGTCCTGATGAATTCCTCAGTCCGCAGAACAGCGCTTCACCTATTCCTGCCCTCACAGTTCGTATGGGGAGAACGTCCCATCATGGTTATGTGTGACAGCGGCTATGGTCTGGCCCGGCCTGGCTTTAGTGAAGTCAATCATGGCGAATGGAGGCGATTCGCTGAGGTCGACGACTGTTCCGACCGCATAATCTCCCTGACTGACGTAGTACGTGATGTTGGGGTCCGTGACGTCATATTTTACTCTGCCAGTCGGAGAGGAAACACCAGTCGATGTGGCCAAAACGTTGCTGCCCCCAAGCAAAACGTAATGTTGGGTCTCGCCAGACTTGTTTAAGACCGTGATTGAGTACTCTGCAGTCGACATGATATAGTAGCGTTGCTTGTCTCCAAAGTGCGAGGCTGGACACACGTTTTGGCAGTAAATTTCGGTGAGCGGAAGAGAGTGGATCCTCTGGAGCCTCGCCGGAAGAAATCCGCAATTATAAGTGTTGGGTCGCTTGCTTGTTGAGTTTTCAGCTGCATTACTGTATGTGTCGATAGCTCGACGTCGTTACGTGGTGGTATCGTCCACTTTTGCCATGCAAGCCATCATGGAGTGACAGGATCGCTTCGGAGGATTCTTGGCAAAATACAGTACTGGCCTGAACATACGGTCATGTAGTCCAGAAGGAGCACAGCAACAATGTTATGGGAGCACTTGGCCGCAGGCACTTCTGCACGCGTCCTTTCAGCCAATAGGGAACATATCCGGCGATTGGCGCCTGGCGGTGGAGTGAATAATAGAAGTAGACCATTGCGACTTTGCTATATGATCCGGTTCGAGCGACTCCCAAAGCAGCGTATGTCTCCGCCCGGGGATCGTTCAATTTAACAGGTCGCTCCCGCGCCCGGTGTCATGCGTCCCTCGTCTTGCGTCTTGTGTCTAACTTTCGCAGCGGGATTGTTATTCAGCCCGTCGTAGGTAAATGGGGAAAGATAGTTAAGTATCTCGTGTTGCGCTTGGGCCTGTGCAGTAAGGATCTCCCGCACGGCAAGCGTCTCCTCAACTAGGAGTTTGTTGGTACGAGCTACGTCAGTATACAGTTGGGCAAGCTTCCTAGCCTGCCGCTGCGTTGCTGCTAATTGTTTCGTGATGCTGATGAGCTGGGCGTTTGCAGGCCTATTGGTTGTTCCTGGGCGCCTTGATGGCGGCGCCTTTGGACGAATTTTATACCGATCTGCGTTGTCGCCCCGTCTGAAACATGAGTGTTTGAACTCGGAAATCCTCTGTTATGCCTCAGACGTCGCGTGGTATGCCACAAACGGCGAATAACTCACATTTCCATTTTGCAATGATGCTTCACTCGTTGGTGGTTTCACTTTGTGAAAGCTATACTTGTGCAGTTGCCGTATGAAACTCAACGTATTGCAGTGATTGAAATGCTTCGGCAGGATGTGACTGTTGAATCGTTCGCCCTACTGCCACGGTTAGCATGCAACTGTATACCGTTAAGAATTCAATGGCGCGTACCGCCACAACGATAAACGTATCGCCTCTTTCCCCCCAGTGAACAGTATCATGTTCTGCGTTATCGTCGAGCATTCTTGTCCTTATCAGCAGGAAGCCCACTTTGTCCCTCAATCGGTGCGGACCTAGAAAGGTTCCCTATCTTGGATTGTTTAATAAAATGGATCTTTTCTCGATAAATCCGGACCCACACCGAACTCACAAATTCGCTTTGTTCGATTTCTTTTTGAGGTGGAGGAGGGCTGATTTCTGCCATGAGGACGGCAGAGGTAAACTCCAGGGCTCTTTAGACAGTGAATAGATAGACAGTGAGAGCAACGTGAAGGCAGGCGCGATATGTATTAGTCGCAATGGCCAAGAACTCTTGCAGACTGAACGGCAACCCGGGAGTCTCCGAATCGTCACTCGTATTGTTTTTCCTCACAGTTAATGAACCATACGAATAGGCTGGAAACGGGCCCGCAACGGAGTCGTGGGGATGGCATGTACGCCGCAAAGGGATGGGCTATCGTGCGCTGTCGGTGTAACAGCGCTGCGTGGACGAGGTAGGTCGAGCAGTTTGCTGACCCAGCTGGACGGTTCCGCGGAGGTGGAACAGTAAAGTGCAGTAGAATTTGACTATCCGCGGGCGAACTTGATGTGATTTCGTATGATCTCTGGGTAGTATTTGACGTAATGGGTAGTGGCCTGTCATACCCCGCACACAGTTGACTCGATATTTTCTTCCCAGCTCCTTTGTCATCATACTGTGGTGTTAAGAAGGTGACATAATTTTAGTTAACATCTGACCACGTGGGCCGCTGCTTCGACCATACCCCGCCCAACCTTGCTTGTACTCCCTCCGTTCCACACGGAAGACATGGACACACAAAGAAGCCCACAAGGCCTGGGCGGTGAGGTGGGCGGCGGGCTTGGTCAGGTACACGACCATGGAGTCGTATGCCTTCGGCGAGTCGCTATTGCTAAGCCACCCGATCTTCTCGATCTGGACGTAGTTTTCTTTGCCTTACGCCTCGGCAGCACCAGTGTGAATGGCGCCCATCTCGTCGAGGATCGCAAAAAGGTTGACATGATCCACACGGATGGGGTGGACCTCGTCCCGCAACATCCGCGCACCTCGCGGTAGCTTTGTGCCGACGAGACGCTTCACCAACTGGTGCTCGGTTTCGTCCCTGCATATAATCCCAAAGCGCATTCGATTGCGTGCATCCGTGGTCACCGCACGGCAACGCCAATTGGCATGATCCCGTTCAGTCCGGACCTCGCGCTCGACAAGGGCGCGAGCCGCACCAGCGGTAATGCGATTCTCTTGTCCATCTGCTACCATGGAGTGTCAATCGTGCAGTGTAACGTTTATGCCACAGGCGTCGGCGCCGTGTTTGCGCACGAGAGAACTGGCGAGGGCGACGAGCTTGTGACGTCAGTGGAAGAACTCTGCGGGGTAGAGACTGTGGTCGCCGTGATAGCTTCAAGTTGTTCATGAACGCGCTTCAGCTCGTCGCCTGTCTGTTTCTGGTTGTCTTTTAGTTGTTGGCTTAAATCACGGATCAAATTGTGCTGTTCTTCGGCTGCATCTTTCAACTCTCGAATCGGCCCTTGCTGAGTGCGGATGGTCTCGTTCTGGTCTTTGATTGCTTCCCTTAGCTCTTGAACCACGGTGCGGTACGTGCCTAGCAAATCCAAGGCCGACTGCAGCGTCGTCGTCTCTTCGCGATTGCTGCTGTTTCTCATATCGACGTTGGGAACGTGATTGACTTCCGCAGCTGCTGCCCGCGTTGACGCTCTCGTGCCGAACTGACTGCTTTTATTTGGTTCTTTCGCATTGTCGTCCAGCTTTCGTTTCGTGGCTCGACGCCCCACCGGCGTCACCGAACCGCCCCGCGGCCCCACCAGGGTCCCCGCTCGAGCTGGCGAGCTCATCATAGGAGCAGGCCAACCACACAATGATTCCAGTTGAGAAATAAAGATTTAATCGGCTGTTCTCCGTCTGTCTGTTGCACTACTTACTCACTCACTTGTTCTCATGCATACAGCTAGCGCGCCCATCTAACAATCTTTGCTTGGTGCATATGCAATATGCGGGACCATACCGGGCAGACCGCCATTTCCGCACAAAACAGAACCCGGGGAGGAGAGATACACAATCCTCAAGCAACTCAAGAGGACGCCAATAATAACCTCAGTCTTGATGACGAAGATGATCTGAATGCCTTCATAATGTTGTGTGCGCCTTCATAATTCCTGTCGCGGATCCAACATCACGAGCCACAGGTACGGGTAGATTTAGCGGCGGCCAGTGACGTCGAAATGACGATTATCACAGCGGGGCTGCCTCCAGCCTCGAGACGAACAGGACCTTATAAATTCTCAACACACCGGACCCAAGGAGGGGCGACATGGCATGGATGCATCATTGGAGTCGGGTTTCAGCCCTTTCCGTCCAGCCCGTTCGCGACGCAATTCACTGAACGACTGCCCGCAAAACATGGCTCGTCGAATCCAGGTACGACATGCTTGCCAGCCGTGCCGCCAAAAACGAGCTAAGGTAAGTTCAGTAATGTGACATCGGTCCTCCCATTGGCAGAGCGTAATGGCGAACGAATGTATTGATAAGGGATCTAAATAGTGCGACGGAAGGAAACCTTGCTTTCGGTGCCAAAACGATGGTCGTGACTGTCTCTACGACAAACCGCGTCGCGAATCCAACCTCACTTTACTGGCAGAAATCAAGCGACTGAAAGAGCAGAATGCAGAAAAGGACAAACTTCTTCGGGTCCTTACTATTAGCCATGATGTTGAGTCATGTAAAGCCGTTGTGCAAAAACTCAAGGATGGCAATAGATCACGCCAGGATGTCTTGCAGGCGATGAATAACCAGGACAGCAGCAATCACCGGTTCCGGAATCGCATTCGACGGAAAACTCCTGGTATTGGACCTTCTGATTTGGCCATCGGACCGGAGATCTGTCAACATTGTTTTTCTCGTCTGCGGACGTGGAATTTGCCACAATTCTACCCCAGTGACCTCAGCAGGCCGGTCGAAGCAACTGCAGCGCTTCTGCGAGACGGTCTACCAGCGCCAGCGTTTCTACTGCCACCCCCCGCCAGTGGAGATACTGCGCAATCGCAGACAGATGAATGGACACAAACAGGTTTAAGGAGAGCCTATGTGCGACAGCTACTCGACATTTTATCCACCTGGGATAGTCTACCTGGTTGTATCGTCTGCAAGGCTCCATTTCTGGAAGCATATGATACAGGATCGGATCAGTTTTGTTCAACGGCGTTGGTAAATGCAATGCTTGCGTTGGCAACTCGCGTTGTCGTCGAGCCTGCTGAGGACGAGACTGGACTTTCTTTGGCGGGTCGTCCGGGAAGCAAACAATTTTCAAACAGCGCTGAAGCGTTACTCGGAAACGCCAAACTGGCGAGCCATCTTCCAGATATCCAGGCTCTCGGAATACTCTCAATCTACAAGATCAGTTGTGGGCACGAAACAGAAGCCCAAATGTTCGCCAAGTTATTTCTTTCCAGAATCTCAGATTTATATAGTCGACCGTCTTCGGCAGGGAAAGAAGATGAGGTATACAACACAGTGCTTACAACCACATACTGCGGCGGTGTTTCGTTGGGTCGGTATGATGTCTCGCAATCTCTCCAACTCAGAGCATGCTAAGCGCCCGGCATAGAATGCTTCGGTTAATAACCGAGCATCTTTTCAATCTGTCCAATCCGACGGCTGCTGAAGAGGATAATACCTTTTTGGACAAACCGCTATGTGGTACTACACGTGTTACCAAAGCTAATCTGGGACCCAGTGAGTACTTTAGTATTCAAGTTGTCTGAGCATCAAGCAGTAACACAACATCAGTTTGGGGTACAGACACGCACAGCTCCCAATTAAGTGGTATTCTACTTCTTGGGGAGAAGATATTTCAACTCACCGAATGGGTGTATAAGGTTTTGGCGGATCTAGACCCATGCCAAGGCAACGCCGCCGAGAATGACGTGTTAGTAGCATACACAAAATGTTTGACCTGGTATGACGACTTTTTTCTTCTTCTCAAGTCCGATGGAAGCAATACACCATCCACTCTCTTCATTCAGTAAGCACCCATACGCGTTCCGTTGCTTCAAGAAGACGATTGTCTAACGACTAATAGCATGTACTATCAGTTTTGCCTGATGTTACTCTTTCGACCTTTAGTCGACGTTGTCCCCAATGATTCACTCGTTCAGCCCCAAGAAATATGTGCCCAGTCGGCACAGGCTATATTGTCACTTGCTCAATGTTATGACAACTTATTCACACTGCGGCGCGTGTCAGGCTTTATTCCCTATTTTGTCTTCGCATCGGGTCAGTTCAACCTGTTTATGCATAATCATGGTATACACAAGGATTCCGCGCATGTCGGCATTGCGGGTAGCAGAACGCCCCATATCTCGCCATATTCGCAAGAGAAAGAAACGATATCTCGCCAATACGACTCCTACGGGGTTTCTTCACACACGAATTGGGTTGTGGGGGTGACCCAAGCGCGGCAGTTACTTGAGAAGATGAACTCCGATTATCTGGCTCTGGTGATGGAGAAGGGAATGACAGGAGAAGAGTTTTATAAAGGTGCGGTGATTTGAGCGCGCTGAGTATGACTTTGGTGGCAACAATATGGGTCATGTCCTGTCTGTCCACAGACTTCGTCAAGGCAGATGGCTGATAACTAGGACCCTGATACGAATCCAAATTGGGGAACAGTGGCACTTGCATTTGATCTCTTTCTGTACGTACACCGATACGACCAGAATGTCCCTCTCTGGTAGCCGAAGCACCGCCAGCGTAAGGTCCGCCGATGCGAGCGCCAGCTGTTCTGCCTTGATGTCGCTCCGCAGCGCGCATCTGTGCTTCTGCGTAGGTATAATTTTCGCCCAGTTGTAATGCCACACCGGACACTAATGACCGTGTCGCCCACTAGCCTTGCATACCGCTTGGCTGTTGACAGATGACGACGGCAATGTTCTTGCCATTCATCTGCTCGGAAGAACTCCATGCAGAAGTAGCAGAATTTCACTTCAGATTGGAGGACACCGAGGAGCTTGGCCGTCCTGATCTTCCGGCAACGATGAATGTGATTACATCTGTCCCGCTTCTTGAAGCTACCAGCCCCACAGTCAGGGAACATTCTTCAGCAAAAGTGGTATGCACACTCACCTAGCCAACGCCCTGTGGCAGAATCTTTCAGGCTCTTCCCCTGGGCGGATTCCAGTTGATTTCCAGCTGAAACAGAACATCTTGCATGTAGCGGACCTGTTCATCGCAACTCGGGGGCAAGTTGCCAACCATCGCCCGGGCAAGACGGCGTTTCTCCGGGATAAGGTTGTCAAGCGGATCATGATCATCATCCACATCCGACAGAACTCCGTGCAGGAGCCTTTCGTGCTTCTTTGCTTGCATTGCCTTAGCCTGTGTCGTTAGAGAGCACTTCTTCTATGCCGTTTGATGGTGTTCTGTCGGTCGGTCATTGCCTTGGCCCTGGCTTCCTCATCGATCGCATTCTGGATCTGTCGATCGCATCGGCAATATCTGGACGTTCGAGCCCTTTCCTCTCCAAAGAAGCAGGCAGACTGGTTGGCGAACTGGGTTGCCAAAATTGGCCCAGTCCCTGGAAGTAATCGCTGACCGAGCGGTCTAGACTTTCTCGCATGAAAGCGGCAAGCCCATCGCATGATGAGACGAAGGCAATGTAACTCGTGCCGAATATTTTGTTATCATTGTGCAAGATGTTTTGCGATCGTTCCGTCTCCGTATATCGTTCTGAGCATCACATAAGCCCTGATGAGCAATGCGAGTGTCTTGCATAATACCCACCATGAAGCTGCTTGCCGAGTTTCCGTCGAATAGCATGCATCGATACCTGTCGTAGCTATACTCATAGCCCAACAAACTCTTAAAGATCTCCATGAAGGCGCCCTCGCGCATGTGTTTGTCGGATGAAGGACCCCTTGTCGGTCAACCGCTCGGCAGACAGGCACATCTTGCCAGGCATCGTGCCAAGGAATGGTTCCGTCACCCTTACCTCGCATTATCTTGAGGAAAAATTCACAGTCCAAAGCGCCGTCGGCGATGGCAAGCTGTAACAGGATGAAGACCGTGTTGTAGCGAAGCAAGTGATGCTCTCAACCGGTGACACCAAATCTGTCACAACATCAGCACCCACTTGCCCATACAGTCAAAGGATACTCACTTCGTATTATCTGGGTCTCTTTATTCTTGAAATGTTGCTGGTCCAGTTTGAAGAAGAATTCCGGATCTCCCTTGGGCGTTCGGTGCAGAGCAAGTTGAACGTCCTGGGACGGTCAGCACCAGGCGTTCCAGCTAGTACACCATCACGTACCTCATACTTTACCCCAGGCTGGAGAAGTGCATTCTTGCGGGCTCCGTTATGGCAAAAACCAAGTAGAATGAAATGAAACTGAAACTGAATTCTAGGATGGACAAAACCAAGGTCCTTGCGCAGCAAAAGAGTCTCCAGCTTTCGGTCCAAGTCTGCCGGTTTGTAGTTGTACTTGGGCTTGGTTATGTTCTGAACGCCGCTTCCTGCTTCATAAGGTGGAACACGCTTGAGCCACTATGGGGTTGTCAGCTTTGCACGATGTAGGGCCGGCGCACATACGTGATTGATCTCTCCAACAGTCTCCTCCCCAATCTCGCTTCCCGTGCGACGTTTATACCCAGCATTGAACTGTTTCGCGCGAGCCAGGAGGGAAATGACATTGGCCTGGTTGCCAAGTCTGCCAATCGATTGATCCTTGTATAACGTCCAGAAGTCCTTCAGCTTGAAGAGGTCCGGAGTTTTCGACTTGTCGCAGAGGACGCGTTTCTTGCACTCGTCGAAGTCGCCTCGGGGGTTGTTTCTATTCCAGTTCCATCTGGAGGATCGATCAGAGGGAGGAACAAGGGAGCGCTTCTCACACTGCGTAGATATGAAGAACCCGTTCCTGTGCCACAAGTATCTGGGCTGGGTAACTCGTCATGCCAGTCTGTCTGTCGCGCTCCTCGTATTTACCGCTCTCATGCTCGTCGCATCTAGCTCGATCCGCAATCTGCTCAGGGCATAGGCGTTGGCAGACATTGTCGACACGGCTGCTTGCGCTGCAGATAAACGCAGATGGCGACAGGATCAGAGGAAGCGGCCGGGCGTGAGGGGGAGGCGCCTCGCCTTTGAATGCTTCCCCCTTTCCTCCGCGCGCGACTGTCAAAGACGACATGCTATTAGATGCACCGTTTCCTGGTAGCTGAAATGCGGATGTTGCCGGATGCATTGTCCCGGTCGCGCGACCTTTTGGGGCGGCTCGCACCAGGCATCCATGCTTTGTTCAGTCAGCTCGCGCGACACCACCGGAGCCAAATCCGCAACTTCCAGAGTCATAAGGGACTAGGATTTCTGGGACCACATTGGGGATACCTAATGACTGTCCGGAGTTTCTGTCCGCGTCCCAAATTTTGTGGGTAGCCATCCTTCTCGCGTTGCTCACGTTCCGGGGCGGAGGTAAAAGTCCGGGTCGTACCCCGCCCCGCGTCCGAAGGAAACTTGATGACATCAAGATGTTGTATCTTTGATCCTTTCGGCACAGGTGATTCACAGACACCAGAAACAAAGGGCTTTATAAGGCTCGTATACTCACAAGCTTTCACAAACATCTGCCACAAAGCGACATGGATCATATCTGAGCCTCAGTGATGTTTGCCACGATTGTATTCCGTTGAAAGTACAGGCATCCAACATGTCTCAAGGCGACACGGAGAAATTTACACGTGACAAGGCAAGAATAGGCAGCAACGCAAAAACTTCGGCGGACAATGCTGACGGCGCGTGGTTCATTCAGTGCACGTGTCATGACCAAATCGATACTTGCGTATTGGCTCACCTAGAGCGTTTGTCGCACGAAGAGTCACGAGAGGATCTCGAGGCTGAGTTGAACGGCCTCATGAAGCACGAGGAGCAGAACGACGCTCTGCTAGGCGCCTTGTCGTGTACGGACGATAGTGATAGCTACTTCCTGGTTGCCGAGGGGCTTCTAAACAAGACCAGAACGCGCAAGGAAATATTCTGTCTGCTCATGGCCAAGTTGAAGACCAGTGCATCCCACCAGGAGGCAGATGGGGGGCAGATATGCTCTGTATCGAAGGGCACGTCGGGTGCTGGATCCAAGATTGGGCGGTCGCCGAGTGTGTGTCCGCACTGCAATCAGCAAGATTGTGTCAGTCGAGCCGTGAAGGAGACGGAGGACGTGACGAAGATTGAGGGCAGCAACCATGGATAGCGGCGACAATATAGGATAGATGACAAGGTTAGCTGGAGTGAGAACAGCAAATATGAACAGGCGGTGGCGCTAGGACCCCGCGAGGGAGAGCTGCCGCAGGTGCATCGTCTGGTCAGGAGAAGGAAATTAGCTGAGTCACGGAGCTATGATCTTTCCCGTGCATATTCTTTACATTGCGCTGCATAATGGTGTTCGCTTTCCTTCCAAGTCCACCTCTTGGCCGACATATTGTTAATTGAGTCTCAGCAGGTGCACGAATACTCTGCTTTACGTTTTTGAAGGAAACGCATGGAGCAGGATCGATGACAAAATGAAGAACCGGGTGGAACAACAGACGGCTTGAATTCGTCTGAGATTCGGCGACAAGAAGGACAATAGTCTACCCTCAATTACACTTCATACTCATACAAGAAAACGGCTCGTCCCTCCCGGTGACCCAGAACTCCTCGTCAGCACGAGGATCAGGTGTCTGCTCCCACTTCCATTCGAACTCGCTTTTGCTAACTTCACCCTCCACCTTTTTTCTCTTACCCGACGCATTCGCCGCGTCTTCCGAGAATGGCCTTTTAAATCGTCTCTCCGGTTTGGATTGTGACCACAAATTGGGCGTATGCTGCTTTCGTCTCTTCCCCGGCGCACCCACCCCGTCGTTGGCGCATGCTCTTTTATCCCGTTTCACCCCCTCTGGCTTCGGTTCTGACCGCAGGTTAGGCGTGTGCTGCTTGCCGTGATAGCGCAGGACATGGTTGCTCCATGCTGCCGGCAATGCACTGACTCGTTGGGTCGTCCCGGTGCGCTGGCATTCGGGGCAGTCGAATGGCTCGCGGAAGGTATCTTCGTGGTGTTTCCGAACATGTCTGGTCAGGCTCGAGACGTTGGCGTATGAACAGTTGCAGAGCAAACATCTCGAAAGAGCGACGGGCTGGCGTTCGTGGGCTGCGATATGTTCTTGCGGGAATACTTCTCTCTCGGACTTTTCTTGCAGATATGCCAGAAGCACCGTCGCCACAGACACCGGACCAACGTCTTCATCTAACAGTTTACCGATACGCACCGCCACAGAGCTTCCGACAACCTCTCTCTGCTTGCGGGAGTTCGTTGCCTGTGTCGTGCGCAAGTGGTGCATAGTAATGCCCTGTGCTCTCAGCCTGTCGACCTCGCGAAGTACTCTTTCCGCACCTCCTGAATCCGCAGTCGTTCCAGCCAGTCCAGTATGTACTTGATGCGTGCTTTGATCCTTTGCGCCTTTACCGGATCATCTTTCGCTTCACGGTACTGCTTTCACAGGCTGCTGAGGTTGTTGCGTTTCTCGAAGCTGGCAAAATCGTCCTCCGTGATGTAGATTGGTGCGTAAGGTCCCGCCGTAGGAAGGCTCGGCTCATCATGGACACCATCTCTTCGTTCTGAACTTCTTTGTCTCGGTACGCGACCTTCATCAAGTCCTTGTTCAAATGTATGGGCAAGTAGCTGTGCTCATACACCTCGGTAGAGTTCGACAAAATGAAGTTCCGGAGCGGGGCGGTTAAACTGCCTAAGCGCCCGCCGTGTCAGAGGAGCATCTCGAGCTGAGGAAAATGAATGCTCTTACCGTCTAGTCTCCCACCGCCGCCAACTCTCATGGCGTAGGGTCGCATGGCGTCCTCGTCACGAAGCCCTGATACAAACAAAGCGCGGTTCCAGATACTCCAGTAGGTGTTGTGGGAGATAGAATGGATGCATTTGTCCTTCATATCTGCCTTCCAGAGCAGCGGAACGTAGTCAATGCCCGGCTCAAGTGGCTCCGCGCGGAAAACTTGACTGGATGCCGTGAATCCGGCCTCGAACGCGTTGTCTGCTAGCGCTCGCGAAACCCAGAAGATGAGGAGGCACAGCTGACGGCAAGGCACCGTTGTGATGGAAAATTTGACCCTGAGAGCAACGTTAGTCTCGGAGCTCAGCAGTAGCCACAGGAAGAGATCAGCGTGTACTCCGATCTCTGGCCTCTTTGTATACGGTTTTGTCTTTGCTTGACGTGGCGTGTCGTGACGGTGGCGGCGAGCCTTGTTATCTGCGGGTCAAAAGGGTCACGCACCCATGCGAATTGAACCTGCTCATACTTGATGGCCACGACGCTCTTAGGGCGCCAGCCACCAATGCCGCCGAGGATGATAGAACAGTCGAAAGCGACGCGGGTACTCGGGCTGCAGCGGATATCCTCTGCACGACTCCAAAGCGTCGATAGTATCAAGATGATATCCTCCGGGGTGGTTTCTCTCTTCGTGAAAAGCTGCTTCAGAGTTAGGCCAAGCTTCATGGCAAGCTGAGGAATCCACTAGAAAGTATCAGCAAATCCAGCAGCCAGAGTAACTGATTGGACGAGAGTCCCACCTGTCCAATCTCGTACGCAGGACTGCTGCGAAAACCTTTATCCCGTGACGAATAGCGGAGGCTCCAGAGGTGAGCCCTCTCCCTGTCTTCACCCCTCTTCCTCTTCAGCACATATTCGTCGGCATTCCGAACGAGTGCTGCCCAAATATCCTCGAGAGTCACGGCACAGTTGACTGTTCGAACTTCTTGCCATTCTTCCGCGCCAAGGCACTGGCGCTTCACCATAGAAGTCCTCACATAAGCCTCAAGGAAGGCCCGACAGCGGGCTTTGGCATCTTCCGACCCGATACAGAGAGCGAGCCACGTGTCTTCCGGGTGTGCCTTAATGCGCTCGGCGAACCTGACGACGATTAAAATGGAACTTCATCGAGTACGCGACCATGTGAACCAACCGAAGCCATTGACTCCATATCTCTTGTAGATATCGCTTTGTCTTGTCCGCGAGGAACTCGGAGTCGTCGATGGGGTTGTTGTCGTAGTGATCAAGGGCTTCAAGAGCAACTGCCAGGATGTCATCTTCGTTGCCCGCACGTGCTCGTATAAGCGAAATGGGCCATTCCTTGTCTTCATGAGACTTGGAAGGCATAGTGGTTGAAACAGTTCTGCAATGGTCCGTTGCCGGTGGCGATATTCAAGAGACTGCCGAAGAAGATTGTATCCGGCGCGTATGTTTGTGGAGGTGGGCACGAGAAAGGAGAATGCAGAAGGAGAACGGCGAACAGTGCAGGCCCAGCACGGTGTGAGCGAAAGGGGAGGACTCGCCGCACCACATGGAGAAATGGAAGGGACCCAAGGCACGGAGACACGCCTAACAGGCAGACCGAGGGGTGCAGGACGGCTGTGCATGCAACGAGGGTTACAGCCAATGGTGCTCCGATTCAAAATAAATGGCATTGCCGTGGATGATGACATGACTGGCTGTTTAAACAAAGGACGAAGACCGATGGTGGGGGCGTGCGAGCGAGGGGCAGGGTGTCCGGCGCTTCCAGGGCGAGACCGGGACCGGAGGTCGGAAACGGTGGGATCTCGAGACGGTCGGGCCGGGCCATCGCCGTCCGGAACGGAGGCGGGTGGGGCACGCAGACGGTACCGGAAAAGCGGGACTTCGGCAAAAGGTCGGTTGACGTTCATCTAGTGAGCAAGAAACCCCGTCCTTGCTTACCTCTTTCGTGATGTAGGCCAGATGAACTGGTTCCAGTCTCCGGACCCTTGCTGGTAGCGAAATCGGACCGCTCCCGACCAAAGGCGTGAACTCTAGAACTAGTAACGGGACGGAGTCATGAAGTCAAGTGGGCTCCAATCTATCCGTGAGGCCATTCAGCCGCCAGCCAAGCTGCGAACTAGGCCCCCATGCGTAACGAGTGGCACCCCTCACAACTCTGGAACCCTACCACAATACGGACGACAATAGAGATCAATACGCCACGTTGTTTCCCACTGTCCCAGCGAATGAAGCTACATCAGCCACCGAGCCCTCTGGGGGCATAATGCCACGAACTGAACTTATATAACACTGGGCCGACGCATTTCATCACCAATGCCGGACACTCCTTCATTAGGGCGTCATTAATATTTCCCGCCGCTGAGAAAGCTGCTGCGTGGATTTCACATTATTGTGGCTTTCAGCGTTTATCATCTGCCAGGTTCTGTACGCCAACATCCCGATCGGGGGACAACCCTTCCAGTCTTCCAGCTTGTGCAGGAAAGCCACCCGCAACCAGTGCCAATTTGCAGCTCTCTGGGGCGTGAATGGGGCCACAGGTCGGCTTTCGACAACATGAGCGACACAACTGTTGACTTCTCTGCCATTATCCTCTGCATTGACACAAGCATCAAAGTCACCAATAACAACAACATTCTCTGTATTAAAGCCACCCCTGCCGACAATGCCAAGGAAATCGCCGAGGCTGTCGTCAAAGCCTTGCGAGACTATAGTGCAGCCAACATGGGCCTGCCGATGATCGACGAAGAAGGTCGTCCCCGACCTGTCGAAGTCAAAGTCCATGCTGGCGTGGCACTTGAGGGTAGCAACAATTTCTTAGGCTGCAAGGAAACCCTCAACCAATATCTCGAGCAGAAGATTGCTTGGCTACAGAGCCAACGTTGCCACGGCGCCTCGACCGAAATTGCGACTGCCGAGCCTTGAAGCCAGAAGGTTCCAACGAATATTCGGCTACTTCTACGGGCAGTGGAGCACGATAATAATTCAAATTGGCAGGTCATTACTGTGAGATGGGCGGTACAGATTTTGGCTCGAGTGTGTTATACATGCACGTTCTGAGGGCGCGAAAGGGACGCAGGCAAGCTCGTGGCGATGCGGCTCTGGCCATTGGACGTTTGACCGTTGGTTGCCCGTGCCATATATCATCTTACATATATCGACTGACTTAGGGTCCGCGCGGTAACAGTATCGTACATCTTGATGATTCCACTTCTCTATAATGCCCTGCAAATAGGGAAGCTTTAGTGATGCCGTCCGTTCCCTTGTCAAGAGAGTTGGGCGCACTTGCCTAGTAGCGCGACGCCGAACCAGATATATCGGGTCATCCGTTAAAAGCGGTCGGTATGAAATAACTCCGCCTGTTCAGTTGGTTGCAGGGCCTATCGCCGTTGCAGTGCCTCAATTTCCCCGAGTTCCCACACAAGCACCAACTCAACAACCAGGTCGTCACCTATTCTGACGTGATAAAATCTGGCGGGAAAGATGAAGAAGCAACCTTTAGAACTTGCTTCCGCGGCGTATCGATCAAAGACAACTGACGAACGGCGCCGGCTGGCGGTTCAATGTTGACTCGTTCAGCCTTGAGCTCAAGTTTGGCAAAGCGGTCTTCAAAACTTCTGTCATCCAGCGACGCCACAATTGAGTGGACGATGGAACAGATGGAACGCGATGGCTTCATCGGCTATATGCACCCGAGGTGCAGAGATGGGGACATTAAGCTGCACAGTCTTAAGCATCTTCGGAATCATGTCGCCACGATTCATGGTATTGCTCGTCGGCCCTCGCGGCGGTAGCGTTCCGCTCATACGAAGGTCTAGATCCTTGAGATGGTTTGGCCACTTTGGCACATACGTGCAGACACATAGTTTCTCGATCCAACAAATGAGATTTACCACATCGAGCATACCAGGAAAACCCTTCACGCCGGCCACGAGCACGCGTAAGAGCTTGGCCACGCGTCCATGCTATGCTTGCCACGACCGTTACGTTTCCTATTGTAGATTTGGATCTTTTTATCATGGGCGGGCGCCTCGTTGCCCTTGTGTTTGAAGGGAGAAGGGCATGATGGCACGCGACGGATACAGTGCATGCGTTCCTGTCGCTGACGGGCTCATAACTGTCAGACAACCACTAAGCCACAGCAAAAGTGTAGGCCCACACCCTGTGTGGAATAATAGCGCCCTATACGTTGTGCGACACAGTCGCTGTTGACAAGACGACCGCGTCGCCATCGCAAGAACGATCCTTCCACATCAACGACCCCGTTTCGACCATGACTACAACAGCGGAAAGACGGTTTCGCGGGTTAGAGGAGAAGGATCGTGCTCATTGTCCTTTTACTGTGACTGGACTCTCAGCTCCCTCCGAGAGCCAGGAGCGTACCGGGAAGCGGAAACGCGATGACCTAGGCCACGACCAGGGGTTGTTGCTGCAATCGTCACCGTTCAAGCCCAAAGGAGCGTTTACAACACATGAGACTATGGATTTGGCCTGTGACGTCGAGCCGCGCAAAAAGTGGTTCGACATGACACGCTAAGAGAGCTTCATAGTGAGTGGTCCGGGCAGCCTACAGTATGTCTGTTTGCGGTTGAAGATCTGACGGGTCCTTGTGTAGACAATGGTGTCAAATACTATGTCGATGACTATGTTTGTGCTACGAATGAACGACAATAAAGCATCAGAGCGCGACGGGTACGGGCCCCGAGCAGCGAGGGCCTTTGCAGGTCACAGACTACTGGGTGGCAAGGATTCTCGAGATCAGGGCATTGGATGCTGACAATGTCTATGCACGCATCTTTTGGATATACTCACCGGATGAGTTGCCTCCAACCACCCTCACCAACGAAGACTTCGTGTCAGGACGACGGCTTTACCATGGACAGCATGAGTTGATATGTTCCAACCACAGTCAGTGCACACACCTCCTGGTTGCTGCCCCCAGCTAGATGCGCAGAAAGACTCACAAAGCCAGTGGATATCAACAAATTCGTCAGTACCGCTATGCTCGCCATAGTCAACCATCGGTTGGAGTCGGAGGATGAAGCGACTCAGGGTGCGCTTTACTGGAGACAAGCATTTGACTGTCCTAGGATGAGGAATAAGGTGTGTGTTAGGCTACTTTCTTAACAGTTGCGTGCCAAGAAAATAAGAATGCAGGGAAGGATGCGGCGCGGATGGTTAGTAGTGTATTTTCCGTCCAGCGGCCGTGAGGCCGCTCAGGTCCCTGTGGGGCACAGGACGTACTGGGCTAGTGGATCTATCCTACGTTATCGACACAGGATCTGGTGGGTCTCTCAGAGATTACCTCCTCGCGTCCCCTTATCTTCCAATCGCGAAAAGTTAACAAACCACCATCCAGCATTTCAGCGGCTCTGAGGCGCTCCAATTCGTGCTCGGTGCCCGTCAGCGGGTCGTCCAAGCGCGGCATTCAAGTGCCGTATTCTACTGGCCTCGAGAGAGGCCGTCAGCGGAGGCTGCGAGAGCAGCCTCAATTGACCCGGGCGGGCAAAGGGTGGTGCTACACCCTCCGCCTGGACGGGTCGCAGATCCGAGAAGCAACAAAAGAAAGAAAGGGAGAGAACATCATCCGCCTAGTGGCGAGGGCACACCCATTCGAAGAACGAGCCTTCGCCAGCTTGACGAACTTGACGAAGTCTCTGCCTATTGCACGATTGACTGCCGCAATCGGTGAGGGGGTCAGCCTCATCCGATGTCGCCGCAGGATCTTCGGCAATAGAAGAGATGACTTGGTTCTTTTCGTCGGCCACATGAGCATGATAGCCACGCATCGTCGTGGTTGAATCTCTCGTGGTAGTCGGCAAAGTCCCAGTGACGGACCTTGCCGCGAGCAGGTGGTGGAGCAGTGGTCGTGGGAGCTCTAGCTTTGAGGGCAGCCGGTGGTAGGCTTGAGATGCAGTGGCTTGTACTGGTCGGGTGCAGAGGCGTCCCACCAGGCTTCAAAAGCGTCTCTGGGCTGCTGCCGGGCAGTCCTGCGCAAATGAGCGAGTGTTGGGAGAACGTCTGCTGGTTCAGGCAAGGAAGTGGCCGCCTTCGCTAAGGCGTCCGCCTGCTCGTTACCTGCAATGTTGGTGTGGCCGGGGATCCAACGGACCTCAACGGCGCCATGCGCCGTGGCTAGGGCCTGGAACTCGAGGAACACTGCCTGGGAGGAGTTGGCGGGCATGCCTCTCAGGCAAGTCGCGACAGCGAGCTTATCGAAGCATGCAACAATTTGTCGTGGGCCAGCGAGGCCCAGTGCAGCACGCAACCCTTCAAAGGCACCCTTGGCTTCGGCGTCGAAGACCTCAGCTGGGCCTAGGCGACCGCTGCCACTCGTCAAGGTAAGTCCACTGCAGTGAATCACATAGCCATACCCAGCGGCCTTCTCTGTGGAGAGGGATCCGTCTGAGTAGATGACGAGCATCTCACATGGGATTGACCGAAGCCATACACGAGAGTCTTCTGCAGTCGTCTTTCGACGCGGTCTTAGGGGTGTCGCGTGCTCGTCGAACCGGCGGGGGAGGAGCAATGGTCGTGTACTGCGAGGCAGCAGTTTATCGCTGCGTCGAAGTCGGGTCCGAAAACCCTCGCGGGGCGCCCGATACTTCAGCTTGATCGACCTATGAATGGCCGGCGGGCTCGGTTGCAGAGTGCGTTTTGCGAGCGAATGTGCTTCATCGACGGCCTTGAGGCGGGCTGCGAAGCACATACGGCGGGTTTCTGGCAACTGCACGATCGGCAGAATTCCACTCTCTCGATGCAGAGCTGCGATAGGCGTCGTCCTCCAAACTGGCAGAACGGCACGCATAGAGTTGTGGAGAGACTTGTTCATCTTCCGCAGCAATTGCTGGATTCCCGAGGAGCCCTCTTTGGTCGGCTGGCTCCAACGTGGGCTAGTCAGTCCGGGGTACCACGCCTCGGCGCCGTGGAGCAGCACTGGCTCGACACAGGCTTGGACGGCCCTTCTCATCGCGCTTGGAAGCGGGCCATGTTTGGTGTTGGCGAGCCCTTGCAAGTGGTGCGCCACGGCTTGCGCCTTGGCTGTCCATTTCTCAACGTGGGTCTTGAACGTCAAAGTGCTGTCGAGCCAGATGCCTAGCCAGCGCATCGTTTTGTCTGGGCGTCTCTCTCCTTCGTGGAAGACGGGCGGAGATACCTTGGGTTTGGTTCGGCAGAAGTGCATGACCTCGGTTTTTGCTGGGTCGAAGCTTATTCCGTTAGCGGCGCCCCATGTTACGAGCTCGCTGACATGGCGCGACGCCCTGTCGGCCGTCGTCTCTAGCGAGTGTCCTACGCATAGGATGCCGGTATCGTCGGCGTAGCCGAAACGGCCCTTCGGATCGCCCAGGCGATAGATGGGCTCTGTATAGAGCAGGAAGAGGATGGGCGAGACGGGCGAACCCTGTGGCAGCCCGCACTGGAGTGGAGAACTGGGAGTGGTGATGTCTTGGTATCTTACGCACGCCGAGCGGTCGGACATGAACGAGCCAGCCCATCGTGCGAGGTGCTCAGGCCATCCCTGCTGGCGGAGACGGAGGATCAGTCGGTTGCGGAGGACGGTATCAAAAGCCCCTTGGATGTCCATTGTCACCAGCGTGGCAACCTGTCCGCGAGCGAATGCTTCTTCGATGTCGTGTACGAGAGCAGCCACGAGGTCGACGGCGGATCTTTTCGGGAGGGCCCCAGCCTGTTGAGGGTGGAGTACACCATAATGAATGGATGCCCACGCTAGACGGCGTGCGATGAGCCTCTCGAGGCCCTTGCCTAGGCAGGAGAGCAATGAGATTGGTCTCCAGGCGCGCGCTGTCGACAAGTTTCGCCGGCCCGGCTTCGCTATCATGACCACTTCCGCCTCCCTGAAGGGTTGGGGGTGGTGACCGAGTCGGAGACATCCCTCGTATAGGCGACGGACATGCTCGCCGATGATATGCCAGGCCGCTTTGAGCATCTTAACAGTGATGTTGTCAGAGCCGGGAGATGTTTTCCCCGTGCGGATGGTCGCGTCCTGCACCTCGGCTAGTGATACATCCTGGGAGAATGGTATCAGTCTAGTCACAGCGACTGGGACTCACGGGTCGGATATGTCGTCTTCAGCCGTTCGCCTTTCCAGCGTGGCTCGTCGAAGAGCATTTGCTTTATCGAGCTGTGTTTCGTATACTTCGCCGTCCACCTCGAGGGGCGGTGGTTGGAATGCACCTGGAGACTTCAACCATCGGACGGCTTTAAACACAGACGTACTGTCGGTAAAGCTGTCGATGAGGTTGCGCCAGTATAGCCGTTTAGCTTGACGGACAACCTTCTGGAAGTCCTTCTTGGCGAGCTGAACTTCCCGACAAAATCCCAGGGGATAGACTCTTCTGATCGCGCGGTATTCCGCTGCGGCGAGCCGGCATTCTTCGGTCCACCACGGCGCGCTGCGGGTCTGTTTTCGGACAGGTCGCCCGGCGACTTTCGCTGCTACCTGGAGGAGACGCACGAGGGCGGATGCAAGAACATCGAGATTGTGGGTAGTCGTCGTCAGGGTAGGGATGTCCGCTGACCCATACTGGACTAGTTCCACGAACCGGTTGATCTCGTCTTCGGTTGTGAGGCGGACCTTTTGAGGTGCTAGTGGGGTCACGCCGACATCCGGCAGTGTCAGACTGAGCGTGAAATGATCAGAGCTGGTGGCCAGATGGTCCTCCACGACAGCTTCTGACAGCGGCATGTTGGAGAAGGCAAGGTCTATGGTATTCCCATGCGGGTTCGTGGGCACGTCGGCCGGGTTGAGCAGACTAAGGCCACTCTCTGCTGCCCAGTAAGCAATGTCGTCGCCACGGCCATCGAGACGACCGGACTGCCAGCTGTAGTGTTTAGCGTTGAAGTCCCCAGCCACCAAGCACCTGCTCGGTGGCCTCCAGGCTAGAAGTATGTCAAGAGCCTCATCGAAGTCAGGCTGTCGGTAGCAGTTGACTATCGTCACAATGTTGATGGTAAGCCAGAGAATGTCACGGGTTGTCGCGGCCCGTCGTTGATCGGCCGTTAGGCCGGGACGGCGCCGGACATACGTCATGACTCTCGGGCGGGTGCTACTGTTCGTCCAGCTGTCAACCGGAGAGAACGTGTCGTAGGCGGGATGCGTTTTGGTGAGACAGCGCCCCTCTTTGGCTTCTGTCCACGGCTCTTGCAGTAAGACGACGTCGTACTGTTCAGCGTCGGCAAGGGCGAGGGCACAGTCATGCGCCGGTGGGATCTTGCCAACGTTGGCCTGGAAAACGCGAATGGTCTTCCGTCCGGTCTGGCTGTTGTGGTGTCTTCTCATAGTGATGATGTGGAGGGGCTGGCGCGGTTGAAGCGCTTCCTCTTCAACGGTGACCTGGGCGTTTCGTCATCGCTATCGGGCTGTGGGGTCGTGACCACCCGGATGCACGGCGGAGACATAGTCACGGCCGGGCTGAGGACGGACTGAACGCTCTCACATTGTGGAGTTGGTTCTCGGCACTCCGATTCCTGGCCATCAGCTGGCTGAGACGAGCTCGGAGGTGGCACGGCGCTGCTTTCCTGTTCGTGGCGGGCGTCCGTGCCTGCATCTTGGGGCTGGACTTGCTCAGGTACGGGCGGCGGCGCTTCTTGCGATCGCGGGCTTCGTTGGGCCCCTGGTTCATTCTGTTCGGTCTGTCGTGTTCGCTGGGCGAATAGCTGTTCTCCCATTTTCCGCACGCGGTTCCTTTCTTCTTGCGTCAGCCGGCGATAGACGCCATGCGACCGGATGGGTCGTGCAGGGCACTCGGTAAAGTCCGCAGTATGTGGCCCTAGGCAGTTTGCGCACTGCGTTGGGGCGGTGCAGTTTGAGTCGTGGTGATGCGGCTTCCCGCATCGTTTGCAGGACGGTCGGCGGTCGCAGCTATGCCGGGCGTGGAAATCCCAGCATTTGTCGCATTGGCTGGGCGCCACGGGTTTGTCGATGTATCGGGCGAGTCTGCTGGAGCCGAAAAGACGCCAGGGTTTCTGGGTGGGCGCGAGAAATGACACGAGGAGTGTCTTACTTGGAAGGTCGTTCGAATCATGACGGCTCGGCCGGATGCTGACGGCCGACAAGCCGGTTTGACAGGTGATCTCGCCTCTAACGGCTTCGTCGTAGTCGGCTTCGTTGCCTTGCAGATCGGTGAGCCTTCGGGGGCAGTTGGCGACGACGTAGGTGTACCATTTTCGACTGGTCTCGACGATATTGGCACCGAGATCCTGTGCCCATTCCGACTGGCGCTGGACAATGAGGTCTCTAGTGGCGGAATCGGTGGTGCGAACAGCCCAGCCTGAATTTACGGGAAAGGCTGCCGGAATTTGGTGGAGGTCGATGCCGACTTTCGCGGCGATGTGGGTCCGGATCGCATACGATTCGAGCTTCCTCGCCGGCGCTTCGGCGTCGAGTCGCACGAAGACCCGGAGGTCCTCTTTCGGTGGGGCGGGGATTGGTCGTCCCTGGAGACGTAGGTCGGCTCTTTGTTGTGGTGCGGGCGGCGGGGCGCCAGCAGAGGGAGTGGCGTTGCCCCCGGGGGCCTGGAGAGGACTGCGACCGGCGGCGACGCTGCTGTACGTCGGCGCCGTCACAGGCGGCAATATCGAGAGAGACTGGCGCCAAAAGTCGAGGAAACTGGTGGCGAATTGGTTCGCGAAGGTATGCTAAATTCCAGACGTGAATTGCATCGCGGCCTGATCGAATGATTCGCAGAATGCTTGGAAGACTGCCAGCTTGGCGTTATACGCATCCGTTTGCTCTTGTGCGACCCTGTTGGCTCCTTCGACGATAGAGACGGGCTCTAGAATGGGTTCTAGCGAGGGTCTAAACGACGCGAATGCGGGCTGAGCGCCTTCCGTAGCAGCAGAGTTGGAGAGTCGGAGGAAGGGCGAGGATGGTGTCCGGGCCGGTCGCCGTGGCGCCGGCGAGACGCCGATCGGCCGGTCTACGACCGGAGAACTATTTTGGAGCTGGGCTGCACGGGCCCGGTCGGTGAAAATTAGAGGGACATGATTGTCCAGATCAAAGGGATCTGAGCTGGCATGCGAGCCCGTGGCAGTTGCCATGGCCGCTGCCAGAGCCAGCGCAGCGCGCGGCTCACAGAGTTAGTGATGCAGTTGTTAGGCGCTACTTTCTTAACAATTGCATGCCAAGAAAGTATGATGACAAAGGAAGGTGTCCAATTGATGGGGCGCGCATCTACTGTCGTATGTAGGGTGCGAAGGAGTCCCACCCTTGCCGCCAGCCTCTAGCAGCGCCTCAGCAAGCGAAAGCCCCAGGCCCCGCGCGCCTCCCGTCACGACAAAAGGTCTTCCAGCCAGATCGAAATCGGCGAACCTCTTGTTCCCGATCTCAGCGCCCTTTTCTAGGCCGGGAGTAACGGGGCCAACGCCGGTAGAACCCGCATGGCGGTCTGGCCTGGCGTCCGCTGTTGCACTGCGTGTCGAGCTCCATCTGATCGCAGCCGCAAAGGTTGTGCAACGGGGAGTGCCGCCTTTCAGTGTGCGGCTCATAACAGCGAGTGATCGAAGTCCAGCCATGGCGAATTAGACAGTGCTATTACAGGGGCGTGTCCTTGGGTTGAAGTTGGGACAACAGAATCCAAGAGCATTGTCGCCGTAAAGCATCATATGCCAAAGGGGAAAGGGGACTCTCATGGGCATTTAATGTGTACGTCATCGGCCCAAGCACACGAGGCATCGTGACAATTGACCAATGCCCGTCACGGAGCAGTCCACGGCTCTTTCCGGTACCTGGAGGCAGTAGCTCCGACGTCCCGCTGTCCTCAGGGCTAATAGGACACAACGGAGGCGCTCCAGCAATGCGCACTACAGAACCCAGTGCCTCCGGGTCTCCGCTTTTCTCTGAACAGGCCCGTATGCTTTCCATCTTAATCTGCGGCGAGAGCGAACAAGCCTCCGCCACCGTTCACGTTGTCTAATTGATGCAAGTTGTGGACGGATTGACGATTGCACTGATTGGTGACTCGCTACCTGATTGCCGCCCAGTTCTCACGTTTGTATTGCGAGCCACGGCCGCCACTGCGTAATCCCTGGGCTGGAACAGCTCCTAGCGCGCCAAATGAGTCGGGCTTACAGTGTGCGGGTCACGCCTGATGGGTGGCACAACGTTTGGGCTGCCAGTGCTTGTATACAGAGAAACTTCTTCGCAGAATCAACAAGTAGTGCTTGTCATTTAATTCTGGTGCTATTAAGAAGATTGGGCATTATCCAGCCGAGAGGACGTAGCAGCGCTTGAGGCACCATGATTACATACGAGTCCCTACGCAGCCCTCCAGTGGGCTGTAGCAGCAGCTCGGCGTATTAGCAATCAGGGGTTCATTTTTGCGTCAGTGGCTAAAGTAAGGGGCGTCGAGGACCACTGCACCCCCTCTGGCCCCAGGTCGCGCTCAGCAGGGCTCTGAGCAGCGACTTGACGATGCGCTGCCCTGGAACCGTCCCTACAATGTGATGTCGTTCGGGATGCCCACGATCTGCTTCGCCTCATTCAAATGGGCCAGGGTCGGGAGAGCGTCTGCAGGTTCGGGCAAAGAGGTAGACGCCTTCGCTAAGGCGTTACCTGATTATTGCCTGTAATGTTGTTGTGGCCAGGAATCCAGCGGATCTCTGTCGCGGCACGTGCCGTGGCTAGAGCCCGGAACTCGAGGATCGGGCCAGTCATGTGCATTAATGCCAAGCACATGAGCTCACGCAAAGTCTCAACTATGCTTTCCATGACCTTGCAGCCATGAGCTGCTCACTTCCTGCCACTACGGTGGCTGTCACTCCTCTGTCTATCCCACGGCCTCCCAACTGCCGCAGGTACTGGACGACCAGGAGCCGAAAGCATGCTGCTATGGCCTCTGGGTTGCCAGGCAGCCCAAAAAAGGCCACCAGCCTCGTCCGTGGCTGTTGTAGCGTGCCAAATAAAACGGGATGTCCAGGTCGGATTGCTACTCCATGAAAGGCTATCTGAGCGTCACAAATCTCCAACGACGAGCGGATTAGGTCGTATTTGCCCACCGACACTTCGCCTGTTGTCACCAAGACGTCGAAGCGGCCCGATTCCGAACGCAGAATCCTTGGCAAAAGGTTTTCTGCGTTGTCATCCAGGTAACCCAAGAATTCTGAGTCTACGCCGAAATCAGCGGATGCTGCCCGAAGAAATGGTTCGTTGATGTCAAGACTATGGGTGTCGCCCCGTATATACTCGCTCCCAGTCGACCAAATTCCGACCCAAATTCTCCGCGCCACCTCTATCTGCCTGTACCCTGCCGATGAGAGAGGCGACATGTGCGAGCTGCTTATAAGTTGTCCAGCACGGATGATCACTTCGGATTTAGCCATGTCGCTGCCAGCCATCCGACGGTTCGCCCGAGGGACCACCGGGCAGGTAACTTTGATGTACTTGGTCTCTTGATTGCATTCGTGGTTGTACCTGGTGTTCATAACAATGTCTTCGAGCTTGACACACGCGTCTAATGTAGCCAATGGCCCTCGCGTCGGAAATCCGCCACCCAGTGTGCTGTCCACAATCATGAGCCCAGCCCGCATATATCAGCACATCCAAGTCTCCACGCCCTCTCCGCAAGCGACGAGGCGACGATCAGTGACCTCACGCAAGCTAGTATTGCGCCGAGAGACATCAGCACCTACCTGCGCCAAAACTCGTCGTCTGGCGGGGTGGCGACACAACAAGATATATATAACTGCATCGCGAAGAGCAAGCGAGCGCTTTGCGAAGGGCAGAGCACGATACAAGACCTCGCCAACGAGCTAGACGGCCAGGGGTTCTGGAGCCGGATCCAGCTCGACCAAGCCCGCCGAGTAACTGCAGTTTTACTCGCCCACCCAGAATCATTGGCTTATCTCCAAGCATATCCGGAGCTTCTCATCCTGGACTGCACCTACAAGACGAACAAGTATAAGATGCCACTCCTCGACATGATTGGTGTGGACGCTTACCAACGCTCCTTTTGTATCGCCTTTGCCTTCCTTAGCGGCGAGGCCGAAGAAGACTTCATTTGGGCATTGGATCGGCTACGCTCCATGTATGATATGTGCGGCGCCTCATATCCATCTGTGGTCCTTACGGATCGCTGTCTTGCTTGCATGAACGCTGTGGCTCATTGCTTTCCTGGGTCGATCTCCCTTCTATGTCTCTGGCATGCAAATAAGGCAGTACTGGCCTCCTGCAGACCCGCGTTCGTGCGCCGCGAGGGTGACGAGCAAAGCATTGAGAGACGGACGGAATTTTTCGGGTACTGGTTTGCAATCGTCAATTCCATAGACGAAGAAGCGTACAACCGACAGCTTGACGAGCTTGAAAGACGCTATGTGCCAGAGTACGTTGACGAGGTTAGCTACATCAAGCAGACCTGGCTTGACTTGTACAAGGAGAAGCTCGTGAAGGCATGGGTTGACCAGCACGCTCATTTTGGCAACAACGTCACTTCTCGGGTTCAAGGCATCCACGCACTCTTGAAGGGCCATCTCAAGAGCTCACAACAAGACCTTTTTACGGCATGGAATAGGATCAAGCAGGCACTGCTGAACCAGCTCGCCGAACTTCGAGCTAACCAGTTCTGTCAGCAAATACGGACGCCACTTGACTTATCTGGACCACTCTTTGGCGCCATACGTGGATGGGTCTCTCACGAGGCGCTGCGCAAGGTCGACCAGCAAAGGAGACGGCTTGAGGGTAACAATACGGCTTGCACGGGCGCATTCACTCGGACACAGGGTCTCCCTTGCGCTCACACACTTCGTCCTTTGGTAGAGGGCTGTCTCCCTCTTCAACTCCATCACTTCCACCCCCATTGGTTGCTTTATCACGGCAGCGAGAAGCCAGAACTCATCACAGAACCTCGTCGGCAATTTGACACGCTGACCGGCAGATCAGCGTCAGCACACGCGTCTACTCGGCGCGAGCCTAGTTTGTTTGAGGTAACGGAGAAGGCACGGCCAAAAGCAAAGACTGCCCCTACCTGCAGCAGATGTCACACGAAAGGACATACAATGACGTCTCGAGTTTGCCCATTACGGCACTCAGAACTCATAGAGCAAGTAGTCGCGAGAGCTACATGCGTAGAGACTGCGGAGACTGCACACCCCACCGAGGCTACGCGAATTGCGGTAATTGAAGAGGCTATCGAAAATGAAGCGGCTGCGCAAACCACACATGATGCACGAGATGCACCGAGTACAGCAATTGGGGAGGGTGTGCAGTCTGCGGAGGCTACGCGAAGCACAAGAATCATGGAGGCTGCGCCAATCCTAGAGGCTGCCCGGATTGGAGAGGATGCGGAGTATGTCCAGTCGACACCAAGTACAACGTTCGCCGATGCTCCAGCGACCATAAATTCTCTGCCATCTGCAGAAAAAGCTGTCCCGACCATTGAGTAACTACGGTGCGACGACCCATGTGTGATATATGAGAGGTATGTGGAGGCACGGGAGGCCTGGTACAAGGCGCAGCCTCGTGGCAGCATCAAGACCAACCAAGCATATCGCAAGGCAATGGGCCTTCCGTAAGATACGACAAACAGAGTTTTAAATGGTGCTTAGACTACAAGCAGATGTCTGCACGCTGTGTGACCTCGACGGGGCTGAGAAGCTGGACAAAAGAGGAGCAGATGGCATATTTAGACTGGAGTCGAGCCGAAGACGAACGCATGGAAACCCAAGTTGCGAAGGAAATGGGAGACAATCCTCTCGCGAACACGAGAAGGAGTATGAAAGAGATATGGCGACGGGTCGAGGAAGATTGCCGAGAGGAAGGGGCTTTGCATACGGTAGCCGGTAGTGCAGTCAAGTGTATCATTGTCAAAACATAGAAGCATTGGGCCACGCTGTTGGCTGTGTCTTTACGTCGCGACTCGTTCACTAGGACTGAAGCCTGTTGGTGATTTATTGGGGGGGCCGCTGCGCTGAATGTCGCCTTACATAATGGGGGCACGGGGGTCCGTGCCTGTATTGGCTCCCGTGACGAACTGTGGAGCTTATTTGGCGGCCTGGTCTGTGTGAAGGTCAGCGCCCGTGGGCCAGTAAGCCGGGGTAGCTTTTGGCCGGACGGTAAGGCAGATCTACGCTGCGGCAGTCGCGCCGCCCCACTACGGACTACCGCGTACGAAAATAGTGACAGCCCCTTGCTGCGAGATGACGATCGCTGCTGTGACTGGCAAATGGCACCCGACAACTCGTGGCTATGTCTCACAAGCACACCGACAGCATCCCTGACTCCAGCTTTGACATCAGTCGCCGCTAGAGTATATAAATGTAAAGGAGGGCTGCTTTCGAGATGCCCACCCATCGCTATTTCTCTCTACTCCATTTCCCACTCAACAAATACTCAACATGATGATCACTACGGGATTTATTATGCTCTGCCTGTGTTTTCTGGCTCATGCACAGGCGCCTATGAGCGTTTATGGGTGCTCCGGCCGCTCTTTTACGGGCCACTGCGAAACGTTCACCTGCCCATACCAGGCCTGCTGCCAGCTGCCCGGCTTCTTCCAGACAAGCCTCGTCTCCGTCAGGTCGAGCGGCTCGTACTCCCTCCGGCTTTTTACAGACGACGGTTGCAAGTATCACTGCAATGACAATGACAATGGCAGCCGTCTCGTCGACGGTCAAGGCTGGAATAACATTGGCGCAGCAGCGTACGCCTGCGTCGATGGTCCTTTCTAGCCGGTCCGGGATCCTGTTCCTATAAGACCCTTGACTGTTGGCAAGAGCAAGGCTTGATACTGTGAGGATGATGATACGTACCGGTCTACGCGATGGCTAAAGCTTTACTAGCACATCTACAATGTTGGAGCCGGAACGGCTGTCACCTAGACTATAGAGGCGGAAAATAGGCAGCGAGACAGTTTGGGCAGACGCAATTTTACCAACGCATTGCCAAAGAGAGAGTTGCTCAGGTGTCTCGTTTGGATCTCATTGAGTGAGGCTGAAAAGCCGCAGAACAAGGTGTCAAAGGCATCATCGGGAGTGATGGGCAGCTGCTTTGGTGTTGTTTTGATAGTAATTTCACATGCTCCTTTGGCGAAAGATTCCTCTCGTTCCCCATTGTAGCTACGTCTATGTCAGAGATGCAGCTAGGCTACTTTCTTAACCGCTGCATGCTAAGAAGGTGAGAAGAACAGGGAAGGCTGTCGAGAGTTCCAATCCCCGACTGGAGCCATGTGTGTGCCTATTGGTATACAGTTGACTGAAGTGCCCATCCGGTCTTGTCGAATTGTCGGCGCGTAAGATTACACCCTCTCGGGCCTCCCTGCTCGACGGCAGGCCCCATGAGGCCATCATGTTCCATCGCGGCGTAAGGGTTCGATGTTAACAGGATGTCGGGGGTTGTACTGAAGTCGCCTACCGGAAGACCCAGATTCAGCAACCCGACTCCCTGCAACCCCGCCTGAAAGAGGTCCATGGTTGGGTTGGTCAGCTGTTGTGGCTTGCAGTCGACTGGAAGTGAGGTCCAGCCTTGCAATGCTTTGTTCTGAAGTGAAGGATAGCATGCGCTAGCGTCGACGTCGGTCGCCAGGACTTGGTCTAATCCGGTGCTCGTTGAGCCTGGCCAGTGCTGCAACATGGTCTGGCTGCTGCTGCTGCTGCTGGGAACCGAAACCCCCCGGCTGCCAGATTTGTCGTTGCAGAGCTTCAGATAATTCCTGCTCAACCGGTAGTCCTGCTTGCTCTCAATCTTAGATGACGATAGCCAGTCAGAGCGGTCGTACGATGAACGGCTATAGGTCGTGCCATGCGGCGCCTTCTGCCATCCCTCTAGTTGAGATGCTAATTCTGTCTTGCGGGCCACGTCCTTAGGGGGAGTGGATTGCAGGGGCAGATTCATGTCGCTACAGGGACGGATGCAGCCAAGCTTCTGTGCGATGTTGTGGATGATCGGCTGCCCGCGGTTATTGAACCCAGGCTCACCTAAGGTCCACGGCAACGAATGGCGGGCCATGGAATAGAGACCACGGACAGTGGCCATCAGTGCATATTGGGTGTCTTCGAGAGCCGCAGCCGACCTAAGGCCCAGCACCCTCGTTCAGCAGCAGCACAGCCGGCATAGAAAGAGCAGCGTACCTCCGGTCTAATTCCTTATAGTCGACCCTTTTCTGAGCGCTAGGGGAGCAGGCGACGCCGTCGTCATTGCACCGCCTACAGGGGAGTTCGCCATTGCACTCCGAGCAGTGAGCATCGCGTTTTACACATACCAACGTCATCCAACTGGGCTTACCTTTTTCTTCTTCATTCTACACCTCGCACATGCCTTCCGGGTACGTCTGCGTATATTATGCATGCCTATACCATGGACGACGTAATTATGGCGATAGGTAGTGGCCGTGTCGGTGTGGATGTAGTTGGATACTCGGTCGGGAGATCTAGCGGCGACGTTGCTGCATGATATAGATGACACACTGCTGGTGTCGCCTTCCTCCCCGAACTTGTTTCCTTCCGCTGCTGCTGGAAGTAAACTCCCTGACTCGTTGTCCATTCCTCTAAGCTGTCTGTTGGAAATGGTTGCGGGGTCGGGTATGAGACTGTGAAGAAGTCATGTATGGTACCAAATGGCCGCTAGTCAGGACAGCGATGGAAACTCTTGGAGAGTCCTTGGCCCAGAATATATATGTAAACAATCTCGGGCTAGGCTCGCCAGGGGTTGACAATGATCAACATGAACTTTGGGACCCCCCACCCGGTGCAATGGACAGGCACCTCCATGCCTCTAGCCGCGCTTTCAAGCCACCTGTCTAGTAATAGTTGTCATCGTCCGTCGCCACGTTCTCAGTGCTATTTCTGGCCCGAAACAAGCCGTGTCTACTTCTGACTAGGCATGCTAGGGACCGGCCGCGCAGAAATTTCTCCTAGTAAACAGCTGCCCTTTCAATGCTACGTGAGAGGGCCGAAACCTTGTGAGGCCACCTATCACAGCCAGGGCCGGGCGGCGAGACTGAGTGCCTGCCGGCGATGGTATTGGGGGATAAACGGAGGTGGGCCACGTGCCCACCCGCACCCGGCGTGCCCGTACCATATGCTTCTCTCGACGTTGATCTGGGCTTGCTCTTGGCACAAGGGGCACAGCGCCCTACCACCAGAGTGCTTACGCGAGACGTTACGATCGGACGGTCACTTGTCGTCTGAGGGGGACAACTGGGGTCCCTCACTGCGCACAAATATCACGAACGACGCCTTAGTATACACTGGAAATGTTGTCGCCAGGATTCAAGTTGCTGTTGCTTTGCTGCAACGCTGTCGACTCCACCACCCATCATGATGAATGACGACAACTTGGGCACCTCAGTTAAGCATAATCGCGACTACGTCGGTATTGCGCTCACTCTCTGATGCGCTCCCGAAGTAGTGCGGCAAGGCGTCACCTGGTCCACCATGGAAGACCTGTTAGGCCGTATCCGAATTTTGGTCAAGCTCAACACGGCCCCTGTTGACGGGGCAAAATGATTCTGCTGCCACCCTCCATCCATTTCATACGGCGCCTTCAAACTTTACTCCATGTGTTGTGTTCAGTCGTCTTGAGCATCACAGCGCGATGTTCGGCCAAAACGCCCCTAAGCCTCGAGAAAAGTGAAAGTCTAATGGCAGGTTCAACATTGTTCCTCCTCCTCCATCCTCCATCCCGAACTTCTCACCTTCTCGCGGATCGTAAACCTAGGCGCCTCGTTACAGATCACTACTGACCTGGCGCGTGCCGTTGGGCAAAATCTTTCTGCCTCGGCTTGCCACGTCTCTGTTCGTCAGTCAACAACAGCCATGTCTCTGCCCCTCCCGCCGCCCAAAAGCCCGGTTGTGGCCTCGATTTTCCCTCAATCGGCCCAAAGGTCCCAATCGAGTAGGTATATCCACCTGTCCGCCCCCGGGCAGCTGGATGGCCCGACACGTAGCCGAGGGCCGGAACTGAGGGCCTCTCGGCGCCAACTGCTCAATGCGTACAAGTGAGCCAAGTATGGCAACGGGCAGTCCAGCAAGCAAGGCCCGTCACAAAGACGGTCGGTTTCATGCTGGCAGTCAGGCCTCAATATATGTACATGACATGATGACATATCGACTTGGTGTGCTCTAATGCCAGGGTATGTCTCTTTGTACAATTCTCCGTAATTAGAGGTCAACAGACCTAGACCAGATTCTCGCACCCACTGTGGGCAGCTCTGTCTTGCTGGCTGAGGCAAGGAGAGTGGTACAGACTACAGAACGGGCGGGAGCCAAGCATCTAATTGGCCATGCCAGACCGGAGATGCTGAGCCGCCTGACGACCGCAAGGTTGATGGTGCCATGTGGCCGGGCAATTGAGTTTGGATGGTGTGGGAGGTGGGAGGAGATGAGCATTCCTTGGTCAAAACGGGTTAGACGGCTGTCATTTGGCCACCAGGTGGTTGCGGCAACTGCCACCAGGGCCACCTCCCCGATCGGCAGGGACTACCGAATGACTCGAAATCGTTCCAGCGATCGTGAGACACAGAAGCAGGAAAAATCACAGACGCCATCGGCTGCAGAGGGTTCCTCGTACCTGTTGCGTCTCCTCCCACCAACTCTGTACATGGGACGCCGAGGGAGCTAACGATTTGGTGGCAGCGCCTCTGGGCGCGACGATTTCCTGTCGACCGCCTGGTGCACTGAAAGGCCTGCCACATCCCTCACTATCCTGGGCAGCCGTGCGACAATATCGGCCTGCACTGGGACGCAGCATTGGTCTGCTACAACCTGTAGCGCCTCAAACTTTTGTGCTCGGTACCGACCCGGGATTGCATCCTCGAAGTACGTGATGGGTGCCGCCAGGTTGTCATCTCCCAAGCCCCGATTTGTTCGGGGTCGATATCTGTGGCTTCATGTTGTATGACCATGGTTCGATGCGAGGGTTAGCACGTGCGCCACTGCAGTTGCCATTCGTATGCAGGGCATTCCATGCAGAGCCACACCATTGCATCCGGCATTGATCTCCCGCGACTTGTACTTTCAATCAGTTGCCATCAACGGGACTGGATGTGCTCACTGGACCACTGTCGTAGCTTTTTCGCGTAACGTTCGTCCACCATGCGAGTGGCATTCGTATCAGTGGTCAACCAGCTTCTATCATCATATCCCATGGTGATTCAAAGGTAAACCCAAGTGCTACACGTCTTCCCTGCCCCGGTCAACATCAAGGAGGTAGCCCGTGTCTACTTACCAGCTCTATACGGATGTTTTGGGGACTCTACATATAGATTTCTCTCGAGTAGCCCTGACCTAGCAAGCGGCATGGAAAGCGGTGTCGGAAACACCGAATGCACCGGGACGAGGCTTGCGTTACCCCGTACTACAGCAGGGTCCTACCGATAAACACGTGCAGCCAACTCAACATAGCAATTAGCTGTGCCATTTCCCCAATAGTTTCACACCTTGGCAGTTGCTATACGGTGGTTCTGGCGCTCTAGCCACGGCTGGTTTTGAGGTAGGTGCCGGTGAGCTGTTGCAAAGACGCCTTTCCTTCATGCCAATGTGTATTAGCTCTAGACCCGGTCGCGTCGACATCTCTCCGCAATTAGACGGCGAGAGTTAGCCCTCAGCTCATTACGGCTGCTGTAGTGTTGGACGTACAATGATCTGGTATTTCGTGTCACGTCGCCTCGCGTATTAGACAGCCGGTCATCGGCGCACTAGAATCCAGACGTGTTGGGAAAATACAGTTGGTAACTATCCATCACATGTCGTCTTCTGAGACGAGCCGTCCTCTGCGATTGATGATGCGGCTGAAGTCCGGCCGCGGAACCAACGGAGATGGGAGGCGCGAGCTTCGTGATGTGGAGAGTGACGGTGAGGAAGGCTTGTCTGTCGGCTCATCGTTCCTGTTAGCAGATGCAACCCGCGTGTTGAGCTGTTCGGTCGTGCCACGAACTCAATGGAACCATCTCCAGACGATCAAGCGGGGCACCAGGAGGGGCAGTGTCGCTTGACGATGACCGGACATTGGAACGAGAGTGCAAACAGAAAACCTTGCTAAGGAACAGGGCGCCTTACGTCACACCTTGCCCCCTGGCGGCATTCCAGACCACATCTACGCCAAGCACGTGGACACACTAGGCGGGAAATGACAGCTGCCAGTGGATGGGATTGCCGGACCCGCGGGTTAGAGTTTGGCTTGTCGCGCAGGAGACGGGGTCGGGTGAGCGGGTGGCGCAACGCTGCTCCTAGATTGCCCCAGTAGTGACCGGGGCTAATTATGACTGCGCGCTTCACAACCGACAGCGACCTCATCCGTCCGCAATGTTTCACATGCCTGGTGAAAGGGCTCAGTGGTTGGATGCTGGCGGGAACGCCGGTCAGCGCGGACCGCACCCTATTACTCGGTGCCAGCCAGGGCGTGGCAGGTGCAGTGGCGGATGAGTTGCAGGTGCAAAACACTAGTAGTTGGGGCGACGTAATTTGCCCACGGTAGCTAGCTGCCCTGCCCTCGGGACGTCGGGAAGATCACCCGTTCTGGCAGGTACTGCAGGTACCGCGCAGCTTTCGAGTATACGGTCTGGATCTTGCCACGATTGACGTCCTGCAACCCTACTTCCATGCAAAGCCATAGTCGAGGGCCATCGTGTGGGCGTGTTTAGCTGAGTCCTAATGCTGCCAAAGGGTTCTGGGATAATGATTAGGTAGCTGTTCTAGAAGTGCCGTCCATCGAGTGGAGTCAATGGACCCCCAAACAACCTCGGATATAGGCAAAGGAGCAAATTGCCAGATCGAGCCTAGGATAGCCAATGCGGCTATCGCCGATACTATGGCTGCAGATGGTGACTTAAGGTTGGCTCCGGTCGGTCCGCGATGGAAGCGATCTCGGTCATATCTAACGAAAGCAGAACAGGG